GCACCCCACCCTGCTTTCCAAAACCCTCGATTCCTCCATGGCAGCAGACAAGCGATCGGCAGAAGAAAAGGGCTTCTGCAACGAAGGACCAGCGGTTTCACAATCCCTTGAAGAGACCAAAGGTCGGTTTTGTGGAAGGCTGCGGCTGTTTGCACTCAGAGGCTCTGCCCTTGGGGTAACATGGGAATATACTGCGAAGAAACCACAGCTGCAACTCAGAGCAGCTCAGGGCTCCCTGCTGCATGGAGACTGCCTCCAGTTTTAAAATGTAATTAAGAAACTAAGAGATCACAGTCGCTCCTGTTAGAGAAGTTTCGATCTGCACCCTGCTAGCTACAACGGCTGCGCTCTTTCCCTCCTCACAACTTGCAGGGACAAGCCGGTTCTCCGAGCTGGAAACCTCTCTCATTACGAGCTTCATCTGGGGCAGGTGCATGCTCCCTCCTGCTGCAGGATTCGTGCCTCACTCTTCGTTCCCAGCCAGCTGCAACCTATTTTTAATCCGTGAAACCTCTCTCTGCCCTCCTGCATCCCTTGCATTGTGTCTGCATGGAGGCCGTCTCCCTGGCTAGCATTATCAGCGGCCTGGAGTCTCACTGGCCGGGGAGCCTCAAAGCAATTTCTTCATGGGGCTGGATGGGGATGGCTATGGGACTTGTGGGGGGAGAGTGGGATTTCTGGAGAGGGGGGTCCCTCAGACACAAGGAAGGAGATGAGGAAACCCCATGTTCTTTCCTTGTCCTCCCTGCTCTGCCTGCCCTATGGGCTCATTCAGGTCTGCGTCTTCTCCAGACCCAGCACAGTGACCCCCGAGCCCATGGCAGGGGCTCCTAAAACCCTCCAAGCTTCAAAACAGCAGCAACATCCCATGCGCCCCCTTTTCTCATAGAAACCACAGGCTGCACGTGCTCTGCGAGGCTCCTCAGGTCAGTGGCAGCGTTTTAAATGTCGAAGACGGCATGTCACCCCTCCCCACCCTCCCTCATGAGACTGGCTCTCAGCCACCAAGACCGAGTTTTAATAGAATAAATGAGGTCTTCTGGTTCATGGCTCTCTGGCGTTTTGGCAGGGGGGAGTTTCCCCAACCCTCCACGAAGGCCAGACATGGATTTGCCAAAAGAGAAGTGAGAGTGAGATGCCTACTCACAGGACTCCAGGAGCAGGGGCTTCAAGGGGGGAATATTGTGACCGGCATCTCGAGTGCTGGCAATCCTGAGAACAGCCTGGGTTTCTCCCTCCCTGGGTTCAGAGGCTGGCGCCGCAGCGCTGAGCAGCATGGGGATAACTCCACCGCCCATGCGGCCAAAGGACACGTCATGCCATGCCAGGCTTGCGTGCTCCCTGCCAGGAGCATCTGACTCATGTTATTCGACCTACAGGTGGGAACAATGACCGCAAAACTCAGGACAGGGGCCAGCAAGCCTGTATGTCTGAGGTCACACAGTCTGCCCTCCTTCAGACCATCCCTTACAGCTCTGGGATGCCTACAAAAATCTGGACAAGGGTGAGGTGCCTGTCAGGCTAAGCTAAGCTGCTGTCTTGTGCACTCGCCCTCTCAGCTTGCAAGCTTTTTTGGACCGGTCTTGCGCTGGTTTGATGCCGGACCTGGTGCAAATGAGTTTTGACCCATGCTGGGGACTCCCAGACTCCACGGCCGCATGAATCAATCCAGAGAGCGACTCCTTGAAATTCACTCTCTCATCAGCTCAGCTCTCTCGGCTTTTCCCACCCCTTTTCGTCCCCTGGTAGTCACTTCTCCAGGAGACAGCACTTGGAGGACTTGTTCCTGCCCAGTTTTGCAGCTCAGAGGAATTGTTCCTGCCAAGCTGCGTTGAAAGGGAGAGCACTGAAGTTATAGCTGGCTGGGTGCAAAATATTCCCGGTGGCTGGTTCCACAAGGATTGAAACTTCTCTCACAGTGGAGAGTCCCTGGGAATATGATCACCCCATTTCTTGATGGCATTTTAAACCTGCAAGCAGCATCACTGCAGAGCGAGACCTGCGCTGATCTGAGTTTTGTGGCTGGCTCTGCCACTTACCTGCTGTGTGACCCAAGTCAAATCATTTCACCCGCCCGTGCCTCGGTTTCCCCATCCATAAAATGGGGACAGTGGTGCTTTATGTCAGAGCGAGATGAGCTCAATAAAATCATTATTAAAATGATCAGACAATACCTGTACCATTACAGCATCCCCTGGGCCCTGTCAGGGGTCCAGGCTTCAATGTGCAAGGTCCTGCATATTCATAATCAACAAAGAAATAGTCCCTGCCCCAACGCATTTACAATGTGGGTGTCATGCTGGAGCACAGGGGAGTTTTGTCATGACACCATCCTTTTAAGATGCTCCTCTTCCCAGGGAAGGCTTCCCTTGGTTTCCCTGTGATAAGGGTATAATGCATTGAGTCAGGGATGTACTTGGTAGCCGTGTTGGTCGGAGACCAAAAGAAATGCAAAAAATCTAGAATTCTTGGTTCAGAAATGATGCCTTTTATTAGACCAACTAGGACATCAGCTCTGAGCCCAAAAGTTTGCAGAAACAATTTTTTTTTTTTTTTTTTGCGATTTCCTAGTTGGTCTAAATAAAAGGTATCAGACGTCTTTCATGCTTTGAGTGACACTTTGGGAATTGAAGGTGGCTTGAGACCAGGAAGCACAATCCAAGCACGTGGGTGTTGCAGTCAGAGTCCCTACCCATCGCGTGGCAACTACGTGCAGTGTCACGCTGCTTGGGTGCGTGCCAAGCCCGTTCTCCTAATGGCATCTCCCAGGGATGCCCAAAATGCCAGCCAGAGGAGGGTTTCCAGCTCTTTTTTTAGCACTGGTTGCTCATTATCTTCCAGGCGGAACTGGCTGCTCCTGTAATGGCAGCGCGCACATCCTAGGGAGAGATCACCCTGCCGCTCAGATAGGAAGCCCCCCGGGTGGGATTTTAAAGGCAAGTAGCAAGGGACGTTTCTCTCTGGTGTTTCTCTCCTCCCCAGAGCTGGCTGCCTCTCAAGCCCTGGAGCTGACCTGTGGCCTCTCGAGAATTCACGCCTGCCAGTTTGCTGCGAGGCGAGGCCCCTTGGCAGCTCCTGGCAGGACTGTTTTGTTATTCATCATTGACTTGGCACCATGCCGCCTTGCCCCATGGCCCTGGCGAGGAGTGGCTGCCACGATACAAATAACGGAGGATAACTAACAGCTTTTACATCGGCAGTGACTTCGGTTTGGCATCTCCCAAGCCCTTCGTGGATTATTGTAATGACCTGCATTGCTGCTGGCTAAACAGGTGCATGCCCTAGGCCCCGTACTGCTAGCAGGGAATGAAGATCCCCCTTTAGCTCAACTCTTTGCAGCCTCTGCAGGCTCTGCCTCAACCCACCAGCCCCTCCTGGGACCAGAGGGAGGATGCAGAGAGAGCTCTTTCTTGCAGGCTGGGATGATGTAGGTGGGGCTGGTCCTGTTGGCAGCAGCGGTGGGACTAAATGTGACCCCCTGAGGTCCCTTCGACCCTCATTGTCTATGATACCAAGGTTATGGCATTTCAGGCTGAGCCGAGGTATCAAGCCGTAGCGCTGAAGGAGGCTGTTCACAGGTCTTGTGTGACAGCAGGTGGCAAACTTCCCCAGCTCAGCCTGTGCCAGAGACTTGCTCCGTGGCTGATGGAGACGAGCTGTAAACCCAGTCTAAACCCACGGGGCACAGGGCAAAGACCCATCCTTTCCGCTGCCTGCCGAGCGGTCTGCCCACCCGGAAAGAAAGGAAGAGGGGGATTGTCAGGAGAGGTGGAAAAGTCGGGGGCGGGGGGGGCATTTGCTCGAGAGGCCAAACAAAGCAGCGACAAAGATGTGGTGGTGAGACCGACAGGACTTCTCAAGGTTCGCAGCAAAACAGAACAAAACCAGACCGTCTCCTCCGCGGCCACCCCCCAAAAGCTTTGCTCAGCCGGAGACCAAATGGGCTTTGCTTCCTACACTGAGTTATTAGCCCTGTGGTGGAAGTGGCTCTCTTTCCTAGCCATGCAGGAACAAAGACTGATGAAAAACACCCTGTTGAAATGCAAAGCTGAAAGGGGGCTCTGGAAACAGAGCACTGGGATCCTTCTTTTCATCCCCCTTTGGGCTGATCTATTTGCTGGATTTAACTCCAGCCTGCAAGTTCTTTCTATTGCCTTGAAATTCAGGCGGGGGTCTAGGGACAGGTCATTTTGCAGCAAAACATGCCTCTCAGCAAAAGAAAACATCTCCCAGCTCAAACAATAAATCCAATGGGAAGGGGAAGGGCTGCCACTGCCCTATATTTAGCCCCCTTTAGGGCTAGCTGCTCTAGGACACTGTTTATCCCAGGAGAGAGCCGCATCCCTCCACCCCGGGGGCATTTTCAGGGGTCTGAAGGGAGTGAGAAGTGGGTGCAATGTGCCAACTAGAGCTGGGGGAGAGAAGACCGGCATAAAAGATGGCATGGCATACCAGGCACTGAGTGGGCACAGGAGAGCAGCTGAAGGGACGGCCTCGTAGCTGCTTTGGGCTCTGAAACCAGGGACCTTGCCAGCTGGATAACTTTCCTTCCACCTCCCCACTACCGTACGACCTCTACAATCTCTGACTTAGAGGCACATCCTGGGGAATGGGAAGGACCCTGGGCACTCCCAGCTCCTCACACGGCCCTTGGAGGCTGAGGACACCAGCTGGAAATCAGAGCCACCCCAAGGCTGCTCAACCGTATCCCAGACACCTCGTCAGATCCTGCCCGGGCCCAACATCGCGGAGAGGCCAGCACCAAGCATATCTCCTCCTCTTCTGGCCAGACATGGTTCCTGGAGACCCACTGAGCCGGGCACGGGCTCTCGTGGGTCTCTTCATGCTCCACTGAGGGGGTCACTGGGTTTTCTGGGAGCCTGTGAGGTGGGCGGAGGTTACGGGATCCGAGAGAGTGACGAAGACCGACTTGGCAGGCCCCCCGCTCAGGGTAGCCTGGGCAAGGAGTCCTGAAGCAATGAGGCCCCGAGACCACACGCATGCCTTCAACGGGGCCCTTCCCCGAGGCGCTGGCTGCATCCGGAGCCCGTGACGAAGGCCTGATGCACGTCAGCGCGTGGCACACGAGCCACCTGCCCGCTACCCGTCTGCAGGATGGCAGGCGACGCCAGGCCCTCCCCAGCCAGGAGGCGACTGTGCAACACCAGCACGCGCCGCGCCGCCCTGGCAGGGCCTGAAGCGTCAGCGCTGCCGACTCAAAGGCTCATCACAGGCTACTGTTGCACATGGATCAGAGCCCGGCCCTGCCCTGCTTGCAACCCCCGCCACGGCCCGGCTGGGTGGGACACAGCTTTGCTGCCACTAAATGCAGCAGTGCCCCCTCGGGTGTCCAAAGCCAGGTGCCCGGGGCCAGCCTGAGCCCCAGACTAGGGCTGGTGCGCCAGTCACGTCACCCTGGGGCTCATGGATCCTTGCACACCTCTGCGCTGCAGTGGATCGCCGGAGCGCCGCGCTACAGAAGATCCCTGGGGGGGGCGGGGCGGCGCGGGGCGGCGCGGGGCGGGGCGG